GTTGTTGTTTCCTCAACTATAGCATCAGGCTTTCCTTGGCACGCATCAACACCTCGGGTTCGCTTTCTCCTGAAGGTCCTCAGAAAAAGCAAGATATCAAACTTCCAAGATATCGCAAGATAGCACTGAAACAGGAGCCTCTACTGCTTGTGACAGGGATTTTTTGTCTTAGTTTCCACAAGAAGTTCATTGGTTGTTTCGTTTGCTGAGGTAGGCAATTAACAAACACACAACTAATACTTTGCTTTGTCCATTCCTTTTTCCTTTGGCTGTACCATTGAAGCAACCTCTCAAGGCCATGACATTTGAAGAAGCCATTAAAGTGATCCAGGTTGCCGAACGAGCTCGCCAAGGCCGTTGTCGAGCAGCATTCATGAAGCAAATTTACCTTGAAGAGAAGAGAGAAAGGCAAACTAAGCTTCAGGTCCAGATGGGTCCAAATCCAGATGATGCTGCTACTCGCATTCAAAAGGTGAGATCTCTGATTTAACAACAGTTCTGGCAGGACCAAATAACAATGTTTTGTTCAGAAGAACAGCAGTAGACAGAAACACAGCTCATAGGAAGGGAAGCATTCTTAAGTGATAGCTTTCAGGGTGTCTAGCGAGGTGAAATACATCATTTAAATCGCTTCACAAAATGAAACAGGACCCTAGATGCAAGATCAACGGAAACAGTCCTGCACTGGCAATGCAGGGTGACTTTAGAACCTACATGATGTTTTTCCATTCTGATTTTTCATGACCTCAGTTGCTCTTTCTGGCATTCCCTTGGAATCCAGTGCATCTCAGGGAATTCATGCTTTTTCCTGTGATCTCCAGGGAAAGGGTTCATTTCCAGATCTTGAAAAAGATGAGAAAGGGACACCACTGCTAAATTCCAGCAAAAGTCCTCACACATGAAATATTCAGACAATTCAGGCTGATGAGAACAGCAGCTCAGTCTAAATCTGAAGTCTAAACACTTTTTAAACCCTGATGAAGTTGTGTGTAGAAGCTAGATATACCAGTGTGAGGGGATAACAAACCTCAGAATTTTCTTTCTTTTAAAAATAGCAGATGGCAACCTGTTAAAGAGTAATAGTTTCAATTGTATATTGTGCCTTTCCTTCCTCTATTTGTTTTTTCCTGTGTCTGCCACAGTAAAGGAAGCTGTAACAAGGCCCATTTATCTCATTAGAGTTTTGTTTACAATTCAGGTTTGGCGTGGATATATCCAGCGCAAGAAAACAGTAAAAATGAGAGAAGAAGAAATGATATTTCTGGGGATGGTAAGTAGTGCTGCCTAGAGAATATAAAATGCCACAGATCTGTTTGTTCTTCAGTCTTTTGTAATTTAGCAGCAGATGAGAAATTAATTTCTAAGATTCTTCCTATTTTAAAAGGAGTCTCTAAGGAATACAGAGCTAAACTGGAATGATAGATGGCACAGGAGTAGCACAATCCGTCTTATGCCGCATGCCTTTGTGCTATATATACATAGTCCGATGTATACGGCAGATGTGGAAACAGGCGGTGTAGAACTTGCCCCAGATTCTAGGGAATTTGACCCAGGCACGATAAAGCAAGGAAATTTTATTAATCAGTTTTTAATTCGTAATTCCAAGACACTTGAGCTGCCTCATTCCTGGAGTAGAATTAAAGCAGCAAAGTCTTCTCCCACCCCTTTGCAAGCCAGTGCATATGTATGTCAAGAGTAGGGAAAAGGGACATTAAAATGCCATATCAACATTTCCATACGGAAGTAAGCAAAACATTCCTCACATCATACTGCAATAGTACAGGGAAATCAACAGCTCTCCATGGTCAGTTAGATTGTGTGGGGTGAAAGAAAAAAAAAGTGACAGCACCCCTTCCAGAAGGAGGAACCTCAGTCAGAGAAGGTACATCATCTCCTCCCACCAACATCTTCCTTCCTAGCCAGTACCCGAGAAAGAATTTATAAACTCATCATTTACGTTTGAATTAAAGCACGCCTCCTTCTTATCCCAATTTAGATGATTTTCTTACCCAGCAATGGAATTGTCCTTAGCTACGTTACAGGTTTATGAAAACTAATTGTGCCTCTAGCATACCCCTGACAAACATGTATCATCAGTTAAGAACCACCTTAAAAAAATCTCATCTTTAGGAAGTAACATGCACATTTACCAAAGTCTTGCCGTATTAAATACAGTAACACCCTATGGATTATTGTCTTTAATAACTGCTGGTCATTAACCGTAATTGCAGCCAGCATAGCTAAACAGAGCTTTGGGTGCCGATTCTGCTTCTGTTTAAGACAGGGGCAATTCCCAGAGATTTTCACTAGTGCAGACCTGAAATGGTGAGTATTTGGGATGTACTGAAAACGAATTAGAAATTATACCTTTTGCAAAACAAGGGATCATTTCCTATCAAATCCCATGACAGTTTCTGTCAAGTCTTACAACTAGAGTCTTAGGAAGGAAATCTAAGGCTGATATCAGTTCACAGAAGGTTCACAGCCAAGGACTCTTTTCATGGTGGCCAGTGGTAGGAGTAACTGATAACCAGGATGTAAATAGCCTAGTTTATGGGGAGGAAATCTATATGATCACAGGGATGAGGGGAATTAAAGCCAAACACATACAGTGTATTTGTTTCCTGACCTCCATTTAGGAGCAAGAGAATTGATGTTTGCAACTCTGCACTCAGACTCATTACTCTATCAAGTATATAATCAAAGGATGCAGGAAAAAAATGGATACCTCTAAATAAAAACCAAAAATCTGTTCATCTTTCTAGTGTTTTTATATTCCCCATTTCTGTTTCCCTTTTACTTTTCATGCTGCATTCCCTTCCACAGTCTCCAAAGGAAGCAAGTGGCCAGCAGACATTGGTTCAAACTGATAGATAGGCAGCGAGCTCCAAAGGTCAAGTCCCTTTGATGTATGATCACGTCAGCCCTCTAAAAAATGACCACTGATCTTCATGTGTAAATATGTTTAATTTGCTTTTCTAATGCTGCACGACTTAGATAAATTAGAAGACCTAGCCATCCATTACTCCAAGTCCATCCCAAAGGAGACTTGACTTTTACTGCAGTAAATATAACTTCTCTTATGATTATAGCTATTTTAAAAACATCTATGTTATTTTCACATAAAGACTGCTTTGCAAAAAGAGCTAGTCCGTTTGAAGTTCTGAATAATGATTATTTTTTTTAATTCAGTTGTGTTGGCCTAAAAAAAAAAAAATCAACATGTGTGCAAAGACCAGGAATCTTCTAGCCTCTTATTTAATTCAGTGTTATTTTCTTTACTTGCTTCAGAAAAAAATTATGTATCTTTTCCGGAATTCAATTGTTTCATCTTTCGCTTGATGACAGAGTAAAAGCCTATGTTCCAGAGATTTTTCTTGGCTCAAAAGTAAAGGCTCGTTATTATTATTATTTATTAAACTTAATTGCAGAAACAGCATGATTCCCTTAGCACATGTTTTTCTCAATCTCTGATAAATCACAATTTGCAATACCAGTTTAATTTGTAAAGAGAAGCAAGCCTCACTAAGAGCACATATATCTTGATAACTGTATCCTGACCTGTTTCCTGATCTTCCTCACATTGCTACCACGGCGCTGTTTGCTACCAGCTCCATCGTGACCATTATAACTAGTGTTCCAGGCACAGGTCTGGTTGAACCACGCCGACCACACTGATGTTGCAAGAAAACACATTAAATAGTCTTGAAAACGTGCACGTGCTGTCCAATCAAACCTGCATTTTCTTACTCTATTTTACCATTACAGCCCAATTATAACATACTATTTTCCAAGTTTTTTTAAACTGGTGCGTAATTCCACTTGTCTGTTTCTGGCATTTTTAAGTTCCCTGTCATTAAACACCACAGTTGGAGGTTGCCGTGATCGTTTCATCTTGCTGCAGCGCAAACTAGCTATCAGCCTGGTGTAACTGGGTGTGTGAACTGGGCCGAGCCTAGCCATGGATCCACGCTCTAACGCTGTTTATTCCATAATTCCAGCCCTTACCAAGGGGTTAGTGGCACAATACGTGCTGATCTGCAATTTTCTCATGTAGTATTTCCGCCATTCTTCCCTCTTCTGAATCCTTTTCACATGAAAGGATCTGTGTTGTCTTAAATAAAAACACAGTTCTCTCCTTACCTCTTTTAAATATACCCTAATTTAGGCATGTTGTCTTGGATAATGCTTTTATTTATATCTGAGAAAACACTCTGCCAAACATTCCTTGTTCTTTGAATTCCTAATAAATATAATTCGTTTCCATCCAGTCAGAAAAAGAAAAAAAAAAAATTAGCATTTCCCAGAATAGCCTTCTCTGTAAACAGTATAGGCTATGGCTAAATAAATATTGTATGGGATTTAACAAATTGCAAACTCCTCCATAAGTAAGTGAAACTGAAAATATTTCTTCAGCTCTTGAAAGGAGGTAAACAGTTACAGTGGTGGCACACACCAGGTCTGTTTTTATCAAGCATTAAAATTACTTCTGTTTTCCTTGCAACCTAGATGATGTTTAGTCGTCAGCACAAAGTTGTATGTTATTTCACCTGGCATACATATACATCTAAACACTGATAACTAATCTGTTCTGTTTTCAATAGAATTTTTAAACCTGCTTATTCTTGAAATAGACGCTGGGAAGCAAGAAGCCCATTAAATAATTTGGCTTTCATTGGCTGGAGTCACACTAACAATGAAATCACTGCCTTTCAGAGTCCAAAACATACTTGCTATTTTTAGTAGAAGTTTGACAGCATGCCCAGGTATAATATCAGAAATAAACATGACCAAATTTATATAAACTTATATGGTCACAAATATAAGTGTTTTCTCCGCTTTAATTTTTCTTTCCTCTTTTAAAAAGTGTTGCACGTAAATATTTTTTAATATATATATGTAACGCAAATCTATAACAGACATTTTCAATATTTTTCTAACAAGGCCTCTTACTACAAATGCTTTGTTTGAATGCGTTTGACAATTACTTTAATTGGCAAAGCCATTGAAGTGAATCGTATAGTAGGGAAGCTTTAATGAATGCAATATATTTTGCTTAGTAGTTCCTTTTTTGTGCCTAATTTAGGAATGCAGCCATATAATTGATGTGGCTATCACCATTTGTGTACCACGGACCATATATGAATACAATCTTCCTAAGACAAGAGACATCTTTAAAATACATTCTTCCTGCAGCCAGACAAAATACATTGAGGAAATGAGAAAGCAAGAACTGCAATGGCAAACTTTTAAGGAGAATTTGGATCACCATTTAAAATTCAATAGAATAAGAGTCATGAGTGAAGTACAGGACCTCAGTTGCTTAAGCGGTAGACTCCTTTAGTCTACTAGTAAGGAGTTACTTGTCTGTGTAGTCCAAATATAAACTAAAAAAATTCTCAGTTTCACTACTGGTGAAAATAAATGACCGTTAAAAACACTTACTGTGGCAATTAAGCCCTTCAGAGAAGCAAACGGTACTACTTCTAAAAACGAGCAGTCTACAGCAAAATGCTACCCAACTACTACACCTATCAAAAGATTACAATTACGGACAATACCGTCTGTAGCAGAACATTTACTGAAGAAGTCCCATGAAACCGTTGAGCGTGTGGTTCAGCTGTGCTGTTTCAGGTCTAAGAAAAGAAGCCGTCTTAAATTAAGTACCCAGTCATAAAAGCTGCAGTAAATCTACCTTTCAGGCCTAATACGAATGTTAGCCTTACAACGTGAAGTAAAATGAAATGTATTTATTTCACCGAAATGAAGACTATCTTTCCTTGTAAGCGTAGTCGTAATGGAACAATTGAAGAGCAGTTAGTTCCACAGCATGGGGCCTCCTATATGTAGAGCTGTAGCCTTAAGCATGTTCAGCCAGCTGCACACCTCTAAGTGTTTTATAATGAACAATAAAACAGTCTGCGTTGGAAAAAGCTCTTGAGCTGACTAAGCAGAAAGGCAGGCTAGAAAAGAGTGATCTGTGCAATTGAGTTCTTAAGTAAAAAAGGGGAAAAACTTCAGAAATTTTCATCGTGTTGGCTTACCTGGGAGATGTAAGGAACTTCTTTCCTTCTACTGGTGGGTCTTCCACTTTCACAAAACCTAAATTCTCTTTGGGGAGGATAAGGGGAGAAGGAGTAAAGGATGCTCTCATCAGCATACTTGTGACTGATGAGTTGGAATAAAATTCTCTTTTAGACAAATGTCCATTTTGCCTTATTAATTTAAACAAGGATTTTAAAGACAAAGCCCATCAAACATTAGATAAGC